TCTCTCTCTCTCTCTCTCTCTCTCTCTCTCTCTCTCTCTCTCTCTCTCCTCTCTCTCTCTCTCTCTCTCTCTCTCTCTCTCTCTCTCTCTCTCTCTCTCTCTCTGTTCTCTCTCTCCCCCTCTCTCTTTCGCTTATTTGCTCGCTCGGCCCCCTCCGTCCTGTCTTGGTCTTTTGTTTTTTTTTCCTTTTTGCGCGCCCCCTCCCTCAAGCTCCTTCTGTATCCCGTATATGGTGTCCCGACCCTACTGTATGTCAGTCCATCTCGGCGCGTGACATCCTATTTTGGCGTGTGACAGCACCATGTGGTAGCCTGCCTCAGCGTGTGGCAGTCCGTTTTCAGCGTGTTACAGTCCGTTCCAGGGTGCGGTAGATCGTCCTGGCGTGTGACAGTCCGCCACAGGGTGTGACAATGCACCACAGAGGGTGACAGCCAGCCTCGGCGCGTAACAGCCCATTCCCAGCGTGTGACAGTCCCGTCACAGAGTACGCATGCCAGCCCGTCGCTGACGCACTGCGGACTTAGTTAAAACGAATCCGAACCAAAGGCGCTTAGGGGCTGAGCCTCCCCGCGGCTCCATTAGATGCGCGACGTCTCGCCAGCTCAGATTGTCCAGGCAAATAAAGACTGATGCGAGCCGCCGCGTTCGACCCCTCACCGGCTGCGTCGGAACTGTGGAGGTGCCTCTCGTGGGGAGCCCCGGCCGCAGCTCACGGTGCGGAGCCCCGGCCGCAGCTCGCGGTGGGAAGCCCCGGCCGCAGCCCGCGGTGCGGAGCCCCGGCCGCAGCTCATGATGGGGAGCCCCGGCCGCAGCTCACGGTGGGAAGCCCCGGCCGCAGCCCGCGGTGCGGAGCCCCGGCCGCAGCCCGCGGTGCGGAGCCCCGGCTGCAGCCCGCGGTGCGGAGCCCCGGCCGCAGCCCGCGGTGCGGAGCCCCGGCCGCAGCTCACGGTGCGGAGCCCCGGCCGCAGCTCACGGTGGGGAGCCCCGGCCGCAGCTCGCAGTGCGGAGCCCCGGCCGCAGCCCGCGGTGCGGAGCCCCGGCCGCAGCTCACGGTGGGATGTTGGCGCCGATCAGTACATGCTGCTCTGCTGGTGTGCGGGGACACACGTCAAGCATAATGGCAGATGAGCTTAACCGATCTCGAACTTATGAATTATGGGGGTATCTGCTCATTTCTGATATTTTCCTTTCTACACGTCGTGTATTCTGCTTTTATTTGTATGTTGTGTCGTCAATGAGGAAATGAGCTCGCGTTGGCCAAAATGGGCCTTGTTTTTATATTTTTTAATTTATTTTTTATCTTTAAAACAGTTATTTCATACACTGGCAGCTGTTCCACGCTGCATTGCGCTTGACTTCGAAGTGGGATCAGGAGCCATTCACATTTGCATTAAGTGGAGGCGAGAAAACAAATAGGTTGTAACTGGAGCTGGTTAAACCGGGTTAACTGTAACAATTGATGAGTCGACCCATGTACAACTTTTAGGAACAATGATATTATTGGGTTGACGATCAATATTGTGAACACCCAAAGCAAGCATAAATTCATTGCATTCCTCTCATCAAAATGCCTGTGATGTGCGTACATTGAGAGATGACAGAGCTGCGTACCTAACGTACGGGTAGTTTTTTATGAACGGCATTCATCATGATCGATTTCAAAGCTACCTGAGCCATGTGTAGTTAAATGGCAAACAGAGCTCACTCAAAACTGTGCTGCATTGCCTGGAGTCGGAGTCGTGACCATCCCCTGCGCTTTGATTCGAAGTCGGTGTTAATCGCACACGTCTAAACTCCTACAACACGCTACTGATCAGAGGCGACGCTCTGATCAGGGAACGAGGCAGTGCAGGGGGACGAAAGGGAACTGGAGGGTCTAGACGCCATTTAAGTAATTTTCTCCCCCACGCGGAATACCATAGACCAATCATTTAATTGCAGAGCTATGGTGGGCAAGCTCTCCCTGTCCCTGCGTGACGTCATCCTTGCCGCGGAGATCGATCAACGAACCAATCATGTCTCAGATATTGCCATTGTTGGGGCTATGATTGGGCTGCATTCCCAGGATGCAGCCAGGGACACAAGTCATTATGCTGCAAATCCGGTTTTTGGTCGAATGGAGACGGGCCTTCCAATCAGTAACACAATCCGACGCGCTGTGGTGGCGCAATTAAACGGAAGATGGAGTAACCGCTGGGAAGTCCCCATGTGTTCTCTGGCAATGCAGTTCTATATACGAAAACTAAAATTACAGCATTTCAGAACATGTTGGTAACTTACCTGATCAAACGAAGAGTGTTGCTGTTCGTAAGCAGTTACGTGTATCAGCTTGCTTCTCCATGACCACTTAGTTGTAAGAAACAAAATGGTGGCGTATTAAAACCACTTATAAGTAGCATGTAATGGCCGATGTATACATCAGCCATCACATGCCTGGTGTTCGCCGTTCGGGAACAGCTTGAAAGTGTTTTAAGACTGTCAAGCGGCTACAAACGATTAACTTCCGGAGCATTGCGCTTCCGTTCACGTACGCCGCAATGTAACGCACTTCCTGCAGAACGTTCAGTATGTTTAATTTCTGCTTCCTCCCCCCCCCCCCCCCGCCGATCGGAGAGATGCTACCACGCGCTTCACGCATTCAAGGGTCAGCGGGCCAGGGTATCAAGTATGGGCATTCAAAACCGTCCTTTTCTGTGATTCATCCAACTGAATAACATTTTTTAAGGACAAATAGCCATCTTCCGCGACGTAGGCTTATTTTGCGAACGCTTGGAAACTCCGATTCATGCCTGACAAGCCATCGGTGACGATGCGCTATGTTCCAACGATTTCCTGACGTGTAGGGATTTTTTTGCCGCTTCAGACGAACGATAGAAAGTAAGATCGTAATTCAATACGGCACCAGCTGCAGCTACACACAAATCAGTAAGCCTATGACTCATTAACACACCTCTCAGAATTATATTTTAATGTCTATTTTCTGTTCTAAGATATAGATATGTCTATCTACTTTCATATTCATTTAGAGATCGTGCCAGTTGAACTAAGTGCCATTATCAGTTGCCGTCTGGTGGCTTCCGTGCTGGCACCATATCTCAGCTATGGTAAATCTGAGCACTACCGCAGACACCTCAGTAAATTTCAGAGGGCGGTGCTTTGCTGCCAGCAATCTGTGCAACGACCTGACGTGAGATGAGAGGATGGATCTCTTTTTAAGTTCCAAAGTTAGCGTTTCCCCTTTTGTCTCGTTGCGTGTGTGTTTTAGCCATCTCTCGATTGGTTCTTGTCGTCGTCTGTTCTGGGAAAGCTGTTGAGTTCCCAAGGGCTTGACTTTTTGCTCCCACTGCAACCCCCGGGCGGTTCAACAGCCGTGTCTTTGACAGTGAGTGGTACGCGTGCTTTTGATACGAGTGCTCTTCCGAGCAGTGTGACGAGCTTATAGTGGTCGAGAAAGCATTTGTCTTAAACTTGAATGCCAAGAGCATCGGAGCGGGAAGCCGTATGAACACGAAAGCTAAGGCGCGCAAACACCAAAATAGAAACCTTGAATTGATCAACTTAACTGCATCCAACATAGCCGTTACTGCACACGTAGCATTCCAAATGTTAAAACAATGCATTTTAGCATGCCAAATTAACTGCACAGCCGATATACAAACGTAAAAAATATATAAAAGACGTCATACTTGTGCTGGCAGGACCCGACCTTCGACGAGTCACCACCGGAAGCGGACAGCATCCGGCGGTACAGTGAGCTGCTGACACCGCTGCAGACCCGACAGATCGGGCTGATCAGTGACCGGCCCCACTACCCAGAGAACATGTACATGTGAGTGACCTGCCCGTTACGAGAACATGTACATGCGGCCTGTCCCACTACGAGAGCATGCACATGTGAATGGCTGGTCCCACTAGAAGGGCATGTACATGCGGCCTGTCCCACTACGAGAGCATGCACATGTGAATGGCTGGTCCCACTAGGAGGGCATGTACATGCGGCCTGTCCCACTACGAGAGCATGCACATGTGAATGGCTGGTCCCACTAGGAGGGCATGTACATGCGGCCTGTCCCACTACGAGAGCATGCACATGTGAATGGCTGGTCCCATTAGGACGAGGGCATGTACATATGAGCGGCCGGTACCGCTACGAGGAGGACACGTACATGTGAGTGGCCGGTACCGCTACGAGGAGGGCATGTATCATAAGTAGGGTGGTTGAGCGAGAGCAACGAAAGGTTGTTCGAAGCAGACAGATAAGTGCCGACGCTAGGACCGAACACTTGGATGCGGAAGCGCTGGGTATTCAGTTGAGTGTTATATTCTGCCAGCGATTACTCGGACACAACGCATAGACGGGATACAATTCGGCAAAGATCGGAATGCTTCAATCGGTTTCATAGATTCAGGAACATTAACGTATCCCTCCAATGAGTACCCGTATAAAAACCATTCAACGCAAATTTTTGGTCGGGTCAAACGTTAACATTGGCGCACGCATAGGGTTAGGTGCTGTGATGGGCGTGAAATATGTCATACTATTCGGTCACACCGGCTCGAGTCAAGAAGGGAGCGGTGTGCCGCAATGTGCCCCATCAGTGGCGTATGGGCCTCGCGTGGCACGCTCGTTGAAAACAATAATTCGATCTTTTGCGATCTTTCAGGGTTAAGATCTAGTGGCTCACATAAAATACGGAACTCAAGAGCAACTGTTAGATATTAAGGGAATGTTCCACATTGGAGCATATGGGAGGATGCATCAGATAAGATGAAGTAAGCTCATATACTAAACTATTGGTATACTTACAACTGGAAAAGACTGGTCTGGACAACACAATGTCACTGTTCAGCAAATATGCTTCTTAATATTTCATTGTTTGATTACGTCATCGTGCCTTGCACAACATTGATTGGAGCAATTGACGGCCGTTATAACTGGAAATCGTGCTCACGAACGCCATATATAAACAGCTCGACGATCATCTTTTTCTTGACGTTAATCGCCGCGTGACCAATGAAATAAACGGACTTGATATTGCGCCGTGGGTGCCTGGATGACCCCGGAACGGTCACCCGAAATAGTGTGCACATCTTCGTTGGCGTGCAGCCCAAAAACGATAAGGGGTTGGGTCTCAGGAAGGGCAGGGCTGTAAACTCTATTGAATGATATTTAAGATGGCTATTTCAGTTCAAAGCTCCATACAAATGAGAAACGCTCACTTTTGATAACTGAAAATTTACGATGAATATAAACCTCAAATGTAGGCGAATACGTAGCGGTATTATATTGCAGTGGTGGTTTAATACTTCCCTTCGTAAGCTTTGCATACACTCATTTGGAACAGTAAATGACAGCTTATGAGCAAATGTATTAATGGATTCAGTTCATTAACACTCACTCCGGTCCATGGACTGGACACCATAGTCCATGGTCCATGGTCCATTTCAGGCATAAGCTCAGTCCATGCTTTTGTTTATTTCATGCTTCCGTCTGTTCCAGGCATAGGCTTAATCCCCACTTTTCCCTTGGCTGATGACAGAATATTTCGAACACGTTCGCCAGTGTAAAGCAACTTCTCAGCTGCACACTCATGGCAGTTTAGGGTGCGCGGACTGCAGCAGTCAATTTACGCTCGGAACGTGAGAGAGTTTGTCCTCACAAAGCGTCAGCGGAAAGGGAATATTTTTAATGAAGACCGCTTCATGCTTTGGATCTTCTCAGTTGGCGATCTCTTGGCTAGGAAAAGGAATGAATTATTATAGCGCGCTCCAAACCCAAGAAACGTGGCCTCGGTAGACTGTGCCGCATAGCTCCGCTGTATAGCGGGTCCAGGTGAGTAGCCAGGATCTTGTAATACGCGCCCGGCTGGGGGTGGGGTCAATTTGACCCGCTCCACAGGTTTTTCTTAAATGGTTTGCAAACGGCGCGGTGCAAAAGCGCCACATTATGCATGGTTGTAGACAATGAAATGTTGGATCATTCGTTATCGCAAATTTAGATGTACCTTGTCAGGTCGTTGACCTACGGCAGGTCAAAGTCAGACAACAGGCGACATTGCTGGATCACACACAATAGTAGGTATGCCCCAATGACCAACCATGATGTCACTGACAGATTGAAAGCAGAGGGAAGTTGTGGGTCTTCTGCGCGCAATTTCGAAACAAGGAATAGTCCACCAATTGACTTTAGGCTGGACATGAAAACTAAGAACTAACCTGATAAAACTTGTTCGGAATGTTACGTTATCTAGCGTTGGTTCACTTCTCTCTTAATCTTTTCTTTTCTCCTAGAAGCGAGGGCGGATATCCCCACAGTTAGATCTAGTTTGGCTCATAGGTCCGTTAGTGTGAGGGACAAACCTAAAAATCATTCACATCGGTCGACGAACTAAGCAAATTAGCTGTGGTATCCTTACCTGTGGTATCCTTCCCTGTGGTATCCTTACCTGTAGTATCCTTAGCTTGTCCTCACCTGATCTTTAGCTGTGGTATCCTCACCAGGTTGCGGGCATGTTATTGCACAACCAGCGGGGTTTTGATGCGCTATAAGCACGTTTTTCTGCGACATTATTCCTTACGCTCTTTTGACACTTTTATAGCTTCTCATGTTTTTTTATCATGCCATATCTATGGTGTGCGATCTTGCCCACCCATCACCTGTATCTTGTATGATCACACGATCTGTGTGCTGTACGGCCTTTGCTGTCCCTGTGTTACCAACAGGTAACAGGAATTACATGGTTGCGGGAAAATTGTTCACCCTAGGTCCTAGTCACCATGTTGTCTTTGAAGTTGGTTCCCTTGGACATGCATACAGCAACCCCAGAATTTAAACGATTCTATGCATCCATGGAGGTCTTTTAGTGTGGCTGTGCTAAACACTTCCTGAGACTCCTTATGGATCTTATCGTGCTAAGACGTTCTCCCTTCAGCCGTATTTCTTTTCAATGTGACTCTCAGTCAGCGTGCTTCCATCCTTCCGGACGTTATGGGCGGATGCCCTCTCCAAGCTGCTTCAAAAGTTTTAAGAGGAAATCGGATGACAATGTTGCCAGTGTGGGTATTCCTTTTGGACAATGTCTTGAAAGACGGAAAGCAATGGAAATTGACTTGACATTGTCGCGAACTTGATGCACTTTTTCGGTCTCGGTAAATTGGAAGATTTCTACTGCGACGACTGCTGTTTTGCTCAGGGTCCTAGGAATAAACCCAGATTAATCACCGATTATGACCTTGGTGATGAAGTTAAGTCATCTTTCGCTTGGTGTTTAAGCTTTCTACAAACGGCAACGTGATGTGCTTTCTGGTCAGGGGTGGCAAAATGTACCGCCTTGATGGATAAGGTCGGCGACAAAGGCGCATATTTTCGCGCAAAGCCTTGTGCCAAAAATGGTTTTGACAGAAAATATTGGTGATGGCCACGACAAAAATGATGCAGCGCACACTGCACAGCCCAACATGAGCCCTCCATACATAGATGCTGAGACTTCATGGTAATACATTTTGTCAGACAACACAAACAAATATTTCCGTAAAGATTCTATACTGCACCCTACGGCACCACGGTCTCTTCTTCACGTTTTATCCCATCCCACGACAAAAACATCCCAGGATTTTCAGTTGGTCTCTTGACTCGGTGACAGATCGGCGACAAATCAGTGCTTCCTATGGCCCGGCCGATCGGCCGATCGGCTGCTTTTAACAACGGACTCTCAGTGTCCCAAACTAGACGGAACAAAATACTGCAAAATGATCCAGATATGGGGATTCGCCCGGCCCCAGTACCATGTTTTAATAGTTGCAATACGACTGATATGAGCAGTGACATAGAATTGCTTTTGGACTAGGGTGGAAGTAAAAAACTCCATCGCAAAAAGACCGTCCGGAAGTGAAATATTCCATTTACAGAAGATGGAATTTATGAGCTAGAGACTGATGCTTCAGCAAACAGACATCTATTTCAAGTTGGCATAGACGTAATCTCATAAACCTGACAAAACTGTGTTGTTTCTTAACATCTAAGACCATTAAATAGAAACAGAATGCACTAAAGCATAGTAACTTCATGGCAGTGCAATGAGCATAACAAATTCAGTAACACCAATAACTTGATGTTACACTTTGCACTTCCCTTCCACAGCACTTTTAACACAAAGCAAAGCAAGGGAATTCAACAACAATATAACAACAGAAAATTCAACAAGAATAAAGCGCTAAAAAAACTAGGACTCCTACACATCAGGTCATCACCAAGTGAAATACGATACACATACCTCTGGCTTCCGTTAAGATGGGGTCAGGGAAAACAAACATTTTGTCACTGTTTCTTACAAAATACCAATGCTTATTTCCATGAAAGTAGCCTAACTTTGCCTAACCGAAAGGAGCCTTACTTGATCTCATCCTGGCTTTACCGATTCCTGCACAGTTACTATTGTCACTTGCCATGCACTTAAACAACTTCACCTATCTTAGAGTAGACCACATGTTGAACGTCATCTCAACTCACCTATCTGTTGGCAGTAGTGCTTATGATAAAAACATGATAAAGCTCATTTTTTGGCTGGTTTCAACTTGCATTTTTATTAAGCTCATTTCTGTGTGCATGTAAACATCAGACAAAGTTTACAAAACACAAATGAAAACACATTAAATCACTTTGGACAACTTATTCTGATGGCCATGGTTAACCTCTGTCAAGGGCAATAATGGGCATGCTCCACAAAATAATCTCTCTTCTCCAAAAGTAACATAACTTTTAGATGACCAAACCAGTTTTGCTGCTTGCCTTTTCAGCTGCACCAAAGGCATCTATTTAGGCTTGTTAAT